TTCCCTGAGAAAGCAAAACTTTCTTAAGGAAATGCTTTAGTTTATGATCGGAAACTTGCTTTCTTAAGTAGGTTTTGGAGGGAAATAAAGGACACATCCAGTTGGGTCTAGACATGTTTTTTAAAATCTGGGGTCTTTGTGACAGATAAAATACACTCTTAGTTTGGCCTTGATCTACTAATTCTTAGATTCAGAGTATCTGAGAATTTTAGCTTACTGTTTAGAGGCCCCACTGTGTGGTCTTTCATCTGATATTTAAATTCCCTCTACAATATGGGACCAGTGGTTGGCTAGTTTGTGCTTGAGCTCATCCACAGATAGGGCATTAGGCCAGACATGTATTCTTTCATTCATACCAAAATCATTATTTGTCATGTACCCAACACTAATAGGAGACTGTAGGGATTAAAAAATAAAAAGAAGAGGGGGGCGAAGCAAGATGGCGGAGGAGTAGGAGGCCTGAATTTCATGTGGTCTCAGGAATTCAGCTGAATAGGGATCAAACCATTCTGAACACCTACGAACTCAACAGGAGATCGAAGAAAAGAATAGCAACAACTCTGAACAGAAAAGCGACCACTTTCTGGAAGGTTGGACGTGCGGAGAAGTGAATCCGAGGCGATATTTGGGAGGATAGACGGCGGGGGAGGGGGCCTCCATCGGCCGCTTCGGGCAAGCGACAGAGAGCGGAGCACAAAATTGGAACTTTTAGAAGTCGGCTCCGCTGAGGGACGTCGCTCCAGTGGCTAAGCAGGGGTGGAAACTTCGCAGGACATTGTGGTCTCAGGACCCTCAGGGTCACAGAAAGACCGGGGGTGCCTGAGTGCGGCAGAGCTCCCAGGTATCAGAGCAGGGAAGCCGGCTGCAGAGATGGAGCCGAGGTGCGGGCTCTCAGCTCAGGGTTGCCATAAACCGTGATCCACGGCCCAGTCGGGCCACTGCTCCTCCAGGAGGGACCCAACAAACGGCAGAGCCGGGGAGACTCCCCTTCCTCCCCGGGGAGGAGCGGCGCAGGAGCGCACTGCAAGGATCTGCTGGGTTTGGAGACTCCACAGGGGGTCGGGAACCAGAGATAGAAACACTCGGTCACAGGCCGGGTGAGCACGGAGTGCCGCCGGAGACCGGGGAGACGGGAGTGACTGCTTTTCTCTGGGGGCGCAATGAGGAGTGGGGCCCTGAGTTCTCAGCTCCTCCGAGTGGAGATTGGGAGGCCATTTTCACTTTCGTCCTCCAAAGCTGTAGGGAAAGCTTGCAGGGAACAAAAGCTCCTGAGAGCAAACCCGAGCAGATTACTTAGCCTAGACCCGGCAAGGACAGGGCAATTCCACCTCTGGCAATGACATTTGGGAACCACGGCAACAGGCCCCTCCCCCAGAAGATCAGCAAGAACAGCCAACCAAGACCAAGTTTACAGATCAATGAGAACGGGAGAACTCCAGCGCTAGGGGAATACTGCACATAGAACTCATGGCTTTTTTACCATGATTCATTAGTCTTTCAAAGTTAATTTTTTTAACTGGTTTTTTTTTTGAATTTTTCTTTTTCCCTTTTTCAACCAACATCTTATCAATCCCTTTTTTTTTTAAAATTTTTTTATAATTTTCATCTTTACAGTCATATTCCATCCCTTCATTGTATCAACCCTTATTTTGTACGTATATAAGTCTTTCTTTCTTTAAAATTTTAGGAGGCACTTTCTTCTGACAGACCAAAATACACCCAAAAATCTAGTGTGTGGCACTCATCTATGCACCAGCCTAATCATATTTGATCATATTCTGTTTTTTTTTTTTTGTTTTGTTCTGTTTTTATCTTTTTCTGTTTCTTTTTTCTTTCTTTCCCTTTCTTTTCCCCTGGTTTCAGGTCTTTTCTGATTTGTTTAGAGTATATTTGCTGGGGACGTTGTTAACCTGTTAGCATTTTGTTCTCTCATTCATCTATTCTCCTCTGGACAAAATGACAAGACAAAAAAAATCAACTCAACAAAAAGAACGAGAGGTAGTACCGTCTGCCAGGGACCTACTCAACACGGACATTAGTACAATGTCGGACCTAGAATTCATAAGCATGATTTTAAAGATACTAGCTGGGCTTGAAAAAAGCGTGGAAGTTATTAGAGAAACACTTTCTGGAGAAATAAAAGAACTACAATCTAACCAAGTTGAAATCAGAAAGGCTATTAATGAGGTGCAATAAAAAATGGAGGCACTAACTGCTAGGATTAAAAGAGAGAATTAGCGATTTCTATATCAGTTAGGGAGGACGTTAGGTTTGAGGTTGGTGTTGAGGAGAATAACTACCATGACTTCCAGTGCTTTGATGAAACCTCAGATGCGAGGCCTTCTGGCCAAGCGTCTGCGATTTCATATTGTTGGAGCATTCGCTGTATCCCTGGGAGTTGCAGCTTTCTATAAGTTTGCTGTGGCTGAACCAAGAAAGAAGGCATATGCAGATTTCTACAGAAATTATGATTCCATGAAAGATTTTGAGGAGATGAAGAAGGCTGGTATCTTTCAGAGTGCAAAGTGATTTGGGAATGCAAAGAATTTCTTTGGGTTGAGTTCCACTGAAGTCTGTCACTGACCTGTGTTCTGAACTATGAAACATGAATACTGGCTTATGGAATAGTTTGTCTTGATAAATAAACAACTAACAAATAAAAAAAAAGAGAGAGAATTAGCGATACAGAAGACCAAATGATGGAAAATAAAGAAGCTGAGAAAAACAGAGATAAACAACTACTGGATCACGAGGGCAGAATTTGAGAGATAAGCGATATGATAAGATGAAACAACATTAGAATAATTGGGATCCCAGAAGAAGAAGAAAGAGAGGGGCAGAAGGTATATTGGAGCAAATTATAGCAGAGAACTTCCCTAATGTGGGGAAGGAAATGGGCATCAAAATCCAGAAGGCACAGAGAATCCCCCCTCAAAATCAATAAAAATAGGTCAATACCCCAACATCTAATAGTAAAACTTACAAATCTCAGAGACAAAGAGAAAATCTTGAAAGCAGCTCGGGAGAAGAGATATGTAACCTATTATGGTAGAAATATTAGATTGGCCACAGACCTATCCACAGAGACCTGGCAGGCCAGAAAGGACTGGCATGATATCTTCAGAGCACTAAACAAGAAAAATATGCAGCCAAGAATACTATACCCAGCTAGGCTGTCATTGAAAATAGAAGGAGAGAGAAAAAGCTTCCAGGACAAACAAAAACTAAAGGAATTTGCAAACTTGAAACCAGCCCTACAAGAAATATTGAAAGGGGTCCTCTAAGCAAAGAGAGAGCCTAGAAGCAGCATAGACCAGAAAGGAACACAGAAAATATACAGTAACAGTCACCTTACAGGCAATACAATGGTGCTAAATTCATATCTTTCAATAGTTACCCTGAATGTACATGGGCTAAATGCCCCAATCAAAAGACACAGGCTATCAGATTGGATTAAAAAACAAGACCCATTGATATGCTGTCTGCAAGAGACTCATTTTAGACCCAAAGACACCCCCACATTGAAAGTGAGGGGGTGGAAAACCATTTACCATGCTAATGGACACCAAAAGAAAGCTGGGATGGCAATCCTTATATCAGACAAATTAGATTTTAAAACAAAGACTGTAATAAGAGATGAGGAAGGACACTATATCCTACTTAAAGGGTCTATCCAATAAGAAGATCTAACAATTGTAAATATCTATGCCCCTAACATGGGAGCAGCCAATTGTATAGGACAATTAATAACAAAAGCAAAGAAACACATTGACAACAATACAATAATAGTGGGGGACTTTAACAACCCCATCACTGAAATGGACAGATCATCTAAGCAAAAGATCAACAAGGAAATAAAGACTTTAAATGACACACTGGACCAACTGGACTTCACAGACATATTCAGAACATTCCATCCCAAAGCAATAGAATACACATTCTTCTCTAGTGCCCATGGAACATTCTCCAGAATAGATCACATCCTAGGTCACAAATCAAGTCTCAACCAGTACCAGAAGATTGGGATTATTCCCTGCATATTTTCAGACCACAATGCTTTGAAACTAGAACTCAATCACAAGAGGAAAGTCAGAAAAAACTCAAATACATGGAGGCTAAAGAGCATCCTACTAAAGAATGAATGGGTCAACCAGGAAATTATAGAAGAATTAAAAAAATTCATGGAAACCAATGAAAATGAAAACACAACTGTTCAAAATCTTTGGGATGCAGCAAAGGCAGTCCTAAGAGGAAAGTATATAGCAATACAAGCCTTTCTCAAGAAACAAGAAAGGTCTCAAATACACAACCTAACCCTACACCTAAAGGAGTTAGAGAAAAAACAGCAAATAAAGCCTAAACCCAGCAGAAGAAGAGAAATAATAAAGATCAGAGCAGAAATCGATGAAATAGAAACCAAAAGAACAGTAGAACAGATCAACGAAACTAGGAGTTGGTTCTTTGAAAGAACTAACAAGATTGATATTCCTCTGGCCAGACTTATCAAAAAGAAAAGAGAAATGACCCCAATCAACAAAATCATGAATGAAAGGGAGAGATCACAACCAACACCAAAGAAATACAAACAATTCTAAGAACATATTATGAGCGACTCTATGCCAGCAAATTAGATAACCTGGAAGAAATGGATGCATTCCTAGAGATGTATCAAACACCAAAATTGAACCAGGAAGAAATAGAAAACCTGAACAGACCTATAACCACTAAAGAAATTGAAGCAGTCATCAAAAATCTCCCAACAAACAAAAGCCAGGGCCAGATGGCTTCCCAGGGGAATTCTACCAAACATTTAAAGAAGAATTAATACCTATTCTCCTGAAACTGTTTCAAAAAATAGAAATGGAAGGAAAACTTCCAAACTCATTTATGAGGCCACCATTACCTTGATCCCAAAACCAGACAAAGACCCCATCAAAAAGGAGAATTACAGACCAATATCCTTGATGAACATGGATGCAAAAATTCTCACCAAGGCCGCAACCACGATGCCGAAACAAAAGAAGCAGAATCAGCAGCAGCCGCCGCCACCGCAGCAGCCCCTGCTGCCAGAGCGGGAGGAGATTGGAGACGAGGAGGATGGGAGTCCCATCGGACCACCCAGCCTTCTGGGCCCTCCCCCCATGGCCAATGGAAAGCCTGGTGACCCCAAGTCAGCCCCAAACTGGAATCCACCCACATGTCCACCATCAGTAGAATGGATAAATAATTTGTTGTGTGTGCATGCAATGGGATACTACACTGCAATGAAAATGAACGAACTCCTGCTACAGGCAACCTGGATGAATCTCACAAACACGATGTTGAGCGAAAGGAGCCAGACAGAAAAGAATGCAGACTCTCTTCACAGAGGTCCTCCAGGATCAAGGGGACCAATGATTCCACCACTGCTGAGTCTCCCACCTCCTCCCCGGGGCAGAGGCCCAATTCGGGGAGGCCTAGGCCCCAGGTGTGGCCCATATGGTCATGATTGGTGGGGGGCCAATACTGAACCTCCTTTTCCTGGACCGGGCCATGGGGGTCCTTCCAGGGGAGGCTTTTACAAAGAGCAGAGAAATCCTCGAAGGCTCAAAAGTTGGTCTCTTATCAAAAATACCTGCCCGCCCAAGGATGGCCCCCAAGTTGTGGAAGACAAATCCAACTGCCCTGTCTGCCGACACTTTGCCAAAAAGGGCCACTGTCGATGTGAGGACCTCTGTGCCTTCTACCACCCAGGCGTCAATGGACCGCCTCTGTGAGACTGTGCCTTCCCATTGAGGCTGGAAGGAGCCCTCTGACCTAGCGGCCATATGTTTCCCTGTGGCCCTGTGATGGCTACTGTGAGGCTGTTCCACCCACCACCCTCAGTCAGTGACACCCGCCCCCATCCGCCACCTCCCCAATTTGGGGTCCAGAGCTGTGTTTCATCATTGATACCCAGTGTGTGGGCTTTCTTCTGATCCAGCCTCCAGAGACTCGCCTTCAGCACCCCATCTTTGCTCCCTTCAACTGCCTCCTGGATCCTCTTCCCCCTCGCCAACGACTGCTGAACAGGAAACCTCTTTGGTGCTGTTTCTTGTGCATCTGTCCACCCAGCCCCCAGTACTGCCCTCGATTCCTGAGAGCCCTGGAGCAGTTTCCTACCATTCCCTTCTTCTAGCTGCTTGTTTTAAGTCCTTTTTATGTGACAGCCCCTACCCCCAAAGTTGCCAGTTGCTCTGTGAAACTCACCAGGTTGACCTGGGGTCAAGTATGACTGGTGCAGAGTTACTCCCTGAAAGGCCACTCTCCCTGCTTTTGGATTTTGTAGTTTCTACGTCAGTAGCATGATCCCGACCGCTCTGGTCTGTGATCACTGTGCTTTGTGAAACTGTGCATCCCCTCGTACGTAGCCTTTCTCAGTGTCTGTGGCATCTTTGTGACTTCCCGACACTAGAGTAAGTTTTTCTGCCAAAATGAGTGAGGCTCTTGGTGCCCTCTAGACTTTCCACACCTCCCAACATGGGAGAAATGTGAAACTTTCCACAAGACTGCCTCCCTGGTCTCCCCATTCTCCTGGTGTCAGTTTTTCTGGTTTGACACAAGCCCATGAGATGTCCTCTGAAGTCTCTGACGGGCTACCCTATTTGCTCTCCAGCCCACTTTAGTTAGAGTACGTCATTGTGAGGCGACCAGCCCTTTCGTCTGAATTCTGTGAATCTCCACCCGGCCTACCTTTGGGTGGAACCTGGACAGTACTGTCGCCCTCATCTAAGCTTCTTCCCTACATCCCTGGCACTGGTTGTTTTCTGTGAAAACGGCAGTGAACAGGTTCGGTTTTGAACTGGCCCTGAGGAAATGGGTCAGGAGTTGTGTGGGCAAGATGGAAGGATGAGAGCCGTTGGAGAACTGAGAATGAATTTTTTTTTCTTTTTAACATTTTTTTATATTAGTAATAAATGCAGTGGAAACAAGCAAAAAAAAAAAAAATTCTCACCAAAATACTAGCCAATAGGATCCAACAGTACATTAAAAGGATTATTCATCATGACCAAGTGGGATTTATCCCTGAGCTGCAAGGTTAGTTCAACATCTGCAAATCAATCAACGTGATACAATACATTAACGAAAGAAAGAACAAGAATCATATGATCCTCTCAATAGATGCAGAAAAGGCATTTGACAAAGTACAGCATCCTTTCTTGATCAAAACTCTTCAGAGTATAGGGATAGAGGGTACATACCTCAATATCATAAAAGCCATCTATGAAAAACCTACAGCAAATATCATTCTCAAAGGGAAAAACTGAGAGGTTTCCCCCTAAGGTCAGGGATGCGGCAGGGATGTCCACTATCACCACTGCTATTCAACATAGTATTAGAAGTCCTAGCCACAGCAATCAGACAACAAAAAGAAATCAAAGGCATCCAAATCAGCAAAGAGGAAGTCAAACTCTCTCTCTTTGCAGATGATATGATACTTTATGTAGAAAACCCAAAGACTCCACCCCAAAACTGCTAGAACTCATACAGGAATTCAGTAAAGTGGCAGGATATAAAATCAATGCACAGAAATCAGTGGCATTCCTATACACCAAGAGGAAGACAGAAGAGAGATAAATTAAGGAGTCGATCCCATTTACAATTGCACCCAAAACCATAAGATACCTAGGAATAAATCTAACCAAAGAGGCAAAGGATCTGTACTCAGAAAACTACAAAATACTCATGAAAGAAATTGAGGAAGACATAAAGAAATGGAAAAACCTTCCATACTCATGGATTGGAGGAACAAACATTGTGAAGATGTCAATGCTACCTAGAGCAATCTACACATTCAATGCAATCCCCATCAAAATACCATCCACTTTTTTCAAAGAAATGGAATAATCCTAAAATTTGTATGGAACCAGAAGAGACCCCGAATAGCCAGAGGAACGTTGAAAAAGAAAAGCAAAGCTGGTGGCATCACAATTCTGGACTTCCACCTCTATTACAAAGCTGTCATCATCAATACAGTATGGTACTGGCACAAAAACAGACACATAGATCAATGGAACAGAATAGAGAGCCCAGAAATGGACCCTCAACTCTATGGTCAACTAATTTTCGACAAAGCAAGAAAGAACGTCCAATGGAAAAAAGACAGTCTCTTCAACAAGCGGTGTTGGGAAAATTGGACAGCCACATGCAGAAGAATGAAACTGGGCCATATCCTTACACCACACACAAAAATAGATTCGAAATGGTTGAAAGACCTAAATGTGAGACAGGAGTCCATCCAAATCCTAAAGGAGAACACAGGCAGCAACCTCTTTAACCTCAGCTGCAGCAACTTCTTCCTAGAAACATCGCCAAAGGCAAGGGAAGCAAGGGCAAAAATGAACTATTGGGAGTTCATCAAGATAAAAAGCTTTTGCACAGCAAAAGAAACAGTCCACAAAACCAAAAGACAACCGACAGAATGGGAGAAGATATTTGCAAATGACATATCAGATAAAGGGCTAGTATCCAAAATCTATAAAGAACTTATCAAACTCAACCCCCAAAGAACATATGATCCAATCAAGAAATGGGCAGAAGACATGAACAGACATTTTTCCAAAGAAGACATCCAAATGGCCAACAGACACATGAAAAAGTGCTCAACATCGCTTGGCATCAGGGAAATCCAAATCAAAACCTCAATGAGATACCACCTCACACCCGTCAGAATGGCTAAAATTAACATGTCAGGAAACGACAGATGTTGGTGGGGATGCAGAGAAAGGGGAACCCTCCTACACTGTTGGTGGGAATGCAAGCTGGTGCAACCACTCTGGAAAACAGTATGGAGGTTCCTCAAAAAGTTGAAGATAGAGCTACCCTACGATCCAGCAATTGCACTACTGGGTATTTACCACAAAGATACAAATGTAGGGTTCCGAAGGGGTATGTGCACCCCAATGTTTATAGCAGCAATGTCCACAATAGCCAAACTGTGGAAAGAGCCAAGATCTCCATCGACAGATGAATGGATAAAGAAGAAGATGTGGTATATATATACAATGGAATATCATGCAGCCATCAAAAGGAATGCGATCTTGCCATTTGCAACGACGTGGAGGGAACTGGAGGGTGTTTTGCTGAGTGAAATAAGTCAATCAGAGAAAGATATGTATCATATGACCTCACTGATATGAGGAATTCTTAATCTCAGGAAACAAACTGAGGGTTGCTGGAGTGGTGGGGGGTGGGAGGGATGGGGTGGCTGGGTGATAGACATTGGGGAGGGTAGGTGCTATGGTGAGCGCTGTGAATTGTGCAAGACTGTTGAATCACAGATCTGTACCTCTGAAACAAATAATGCAATATATGTTAAGAAAAAAAAGAAGAAGAAGATAGCAGGAGGGGAAGAATGAAGGGGCGTAAGTCAGGTTGGAGGAAGATGAACCATGAGAGACGATGGACTCTGAGAAACAATCTGAGGGTTCTAGAGGGGAGGGGGGTGGGGGGATGGGTTAGCCTGGTGATGGGTATTAAAGAGGGCACATTCTGCGCGGAGCACTGGGTGTTATGCACAAACAATGAATCATGGAACACTACATCAAGAACTAATGATGTAATGTATGGTGATTAACATAACAAAGAAAAATTTAAAGAAAAAAAAAAGAAGTTTCCCCTTACCGATATTCCAGAATGGCCCAACCTCTTAAATTTTGTTGTCTTTCCTTTTGTTAAAGACTGGGGCATTAAGTTAATGATGATTTATGTTGTTCGCTAATATTTAGAATCTCTTCTGTGGTAATACCTGTTGTAAAGTAAATCAAATCATGGCTTTGAAAGCTCCCCCAATGTACATGTCAGAAATCATTTTCTACTCCTCTGAATAAAGAACCAGAAAATGAAGAAAATAAAATAAAATAAAATAAATAAAAAGAAGATATAGTCTTTGAACAGAGTCAGTTTGCTTCTTCTATACCATGTAAATAATTAAGAACCACTGAGTCATAAACTTCCTTCAGCTTCATGTAATTTGAAGTTCACATGAATGAGTGATCCTATTAGTCCTGTCTAATTCAGTGTGCACTCACACTTACACGAACAGTTGCCTTCTACCTGCTTGAACCCATGCTTTAAGCTCTCCCATGCATTACCTTAGTTAAGTATACCTTTCATCTGGACTAATTTTATTTGAATAACTACAAAGTTATCTGTCTCTACTACTATACTTCCAATTTCAATACCAACGTGATTGATCTAAGTAGCAATGTCATCTCATGACTGTTCAAGCTTTCATTTACTTCTGCTGACCTCACTCACCCAGGAATTTGCATACCATTATTATAAGAATTTGCGGTCCAAAATTTGTTTCCTTTCTTACCTGCCTCTTCTCCTACTAAAATTTAACCTTTTTAGAATTGTCGGTCTCATCCATTTTACTCAGGCCTTCAAGTCCTTCCTAGGCACAAAGTATACCTTCTTTACTACCTACTTCAATGGTTAGTCTTATTCTTTCCTTTCTACCATCCTTAAAGTTCTTGCCTTCCCACACTCACAAGGAACCCAGCTATCCATTCTCAAACTACTCTCTCCTCAGTGTGGCCATTGTAACTATCAGTGCTAGAGACCAACAGCCTCTCAGGATATGAGTCCAAGTTCAATTCCGGTGGAGGGTCTCTGGCTCTTATGTCAATATCTTTCGCAGCAATTAAATCAGACTTTCAGTACATCATTTAACACCTGCAATTTCCCCTTTAATTACCTTTTTCCCCCCCTTTCATAATACACACAATCCTTTCATTTGAAAAATCTTCACTTGAACTGCCTTCTGCTCTTGATAAGAACTACTCAAATTCTCTCTTTTGTACGCATTTGATTTCTGCCAGGGTGGCAAAGTAGTTCTCTGGAATGGCCTTATAGCCAAATACAGTGGGTCACATCTCAGGGTCCATCCTCATTTGCTTCTGATATGCATTTTAGAGTTAAATGAGTTAATTTCTCTTATTTATTGAAGCTTCTCAAAAGACATTTTTTTCTGTTGTTTAGTCTCTACTTTCATCTTTTCTATCTTTTTAGTAGCAAGCAGAAATAATAATGCGATTATAATAATAACCACCATACATTCCGTTCTTATGATTTGCATTGCATTTTCAGATAGATATGATTTCATTTAAGCCACACATAACTTTAAGAGTATGCAATGTTATTCCCATTTATAGGTGATAGAATTAAGTTTCAAAGGGGTTAAATAATTTGCCTAAAATCTACTTCAAGGCCTAAGTGTACATTCTGTCTTCTACCTCTACACTTTCTTCCTAGCCATTCCCA